AAGACCAAAAGCCAAGAAACTTGTCACCCATGGCCTTACCTGAAATAACTTTTCAAAATCGTCGACGGTAAGAATGCAGCTGATGGAGAGCCTTCTGTGCCCAGAAAACATGTGCCTCGGCCATTCAAGAATTTGCCGTTCAGTTTAAAAAAAAATAAAAAAAAAGTTATTTTTTATTTTGTTTGTTTGGTTTTTTTTTTGTTTGTTTTGGGAACAATACTCCCTCTATATTATTTGACCAAATTAAGACAAACATTCCAAGAGAATCTCCAGGTTGGCTGCTCACTCAAGAGTGGCCGTGGCCACCATTGGCCACCACGTAGCTCTGCCCCTGATTGCTATGACTGATCTTTTGTTTTTGCTTTTAAGGCATTTTTTTTTCAGCAGCTCATGGAATGGCTGCAACCCGACTGTGTGTGTGTGTGTGTGTGTGTGTGTGTGTGTGTGTGTGTGTGTGTGTGTGTGTGTGTGTGTGCGTGTGTGTGTGTGAGTGCATATAATGCTGATTGTCTCACAGTCCAGTTTTTTAGTTTTGTCCTCCATCTTTGGCCATCAGCTGTTCTCAAACGAGGAGTCTTTGCGGCCGTTCCTGTCGCAAGTGGTGTGCGTCTCTTCCGTTATTGGGGGCGGGGGCGAGAGAACAGCTCCGTGCTCACAGAGCCCATTATTTCTCCCATCATGTGTTCTCACTTGTCCCCTCTCTCCCTCCCATCTAGAACCACACACTGAGTCAGCACGCGCAGTGAGACCGAGGCCCGGCAGGATCTCTCGGCTCAGTCGGGGCCCCCGACCCGGAGCCGGCGGGGGAACTACATCTCCACATCACAGCCAATCAAAGTGTCATTTGCCACTCACATGTAAAAGTGTAACGATCGCACCACTGGGTGTGGCTATTAGCGGCAGCGGGGGAAAGGAATATTAATGGGATATGCTATTAAATAAAGAAAGGCAAGCAGGATGAAGGAGAGGAGTGGTGTGAACAAGGTATTGTATGTGCAGTATTTTTAATCAACCCTGCCAAATTCTCTGTTACCATGTAATTATTTTTTTTCAGAGAGACAAAAAAAAAGGAATCTTTTGTTCTGGATCATGTTCATAGTTTCTCGAAAATAATTTTCTCTTCCTTCCGTTAGTATTCAAATTAATCTGTGCTCATTTTTGTCCTTCTTCCAGATGCGTTTCGAATTTCTTTCATTTGTTTTCTGTCTTTGCGTTCTCGCCGTTAGTAGGTACTCGTGCCGTGTACTTGTGATTGTCTGTTCTCCAGTTGTAAGTTCCCCCACCCCTCCAAATCTTCTTTCTATGATTATTGTTATATATATATTTTCTTCTCTTTTTGTAATTACTATGAAAGAAAGACAAAGGAGCAAATTAAAATGCAGAAAACCATGCAAATGTTTCTTTTTTTTCAGTCTCTACGGGGCCTCTAATAGTTGTAAAAAAAAAAGAAAAAAAGAAAAAAATCATCAATTTCAGTGCGTCTGGTCAATGACTGCTTTTTAAATGTGAATTAACCAGATGGCAATAATATAGCAGAGACAAAAAAACTAAGATAAAAAAAACAAAAACAAACAAATAAATACATGACAAATGAAGACATTCTGTGTGGTGTGACTTTATTCCAATTGTGTTGGTCACATACACTTAGGGGGATGTTATTTTCACTCTCCATGAGAAGATACACTCAGATTTCAGAAATATTCAGTTGGATGCGTCTTAATGGGGCTCAACAATAATTCAATGTTTTCAATAATTCAATAATTTCTTTGAAAACATTGGCAAACACATGAACATTGTATTTGTCATAAACACACATTTACGAACAGATAAAGTTTTCATTTTTCTTAATTTATTGGCAGATTTACTCATTTGCAAGTTAAACTGCAATAAAATATTTAACTGAATATTTAAGTTCCCTTTATAGCAGGGTTCAAATACTGGAGCACCGTGCAAATTTGACGGGGGTGCGTGATGTGGGAACATACTTGCTTTTTTTTTTTAAATTCTGTACAAGAATAAAGTGCAATTGCACATCCACTCTAGTAGTAAATGGGAGCAGCGCTCTAATCAATTTTTCTAAAATTTTATTTCAGGCAAATTGATGCATTTCTAATCTTTTCTGGCTGTGAGTTTGTGATGAATTGATGTATATTTATTTATTGTTTTCTTTAAGGTTAATACGGGTACAATTTTATGCAGAGGTGTACTTTTAACAATTCTATAAACAAATGATGCTATTTACAGTCACAGAGTAGTAGTTTTTTTTTTTTGGGGGGGGGGCGAAATAATACAAAACAATTAAGAGGCACTGCTTTAGAGACAAATATTAAATATTAACTCCAGTAAATCCCTGCATAGTATTGTCTGTTGTTTACATTTTGTCCCATGGGTTTACAACATTACTGCATTCTTACAGCCAGCATAAATACTACCACAGCGGGCTAGTTTAGTGGTGTGCATGTCTGCCTTGTAATTCTCAAGTACGATAATTTGAGTTCCTCGATTCAAAAAATGCTCAAGGATTTTTGTTTTCTGTCTCGGGTACCCATTGATTTGGTGTGCACTATTGGGAAGACAAGTCAGGCCAGCCGCAGCAACAATTGTGCATGTTACGCATGAGGGGAACAAGCTCCCAATGCAGTGAGAAGGCCAACTTCAAAAAGTAATCTTACCAAGTAATACATGGACATCAATGTCTTGGTACTCTTTTATTTTGAAGTTGTTCCTCTTAACGTGGCATGGCGGCTGACTTGACTTGTCTTCCTGACTGGATGCTAGCTAGATGGAGTGCATTATTATAAAATGTTGCCACAAACATCAACTTGTCAACCTGAAATAAAGTTCAATTGCTAATTAAGGATGCTAAAAAAAACTGTAGTTAATTCCATTGACATTGTATTATGTGGCGCCTGTTGTCAGCGTTAGCAGCTGTCAGCTAGCAGCTAGTTGCTAAGGAAGTACCCAATATAGGCTGGCAAGAGCCGTTGGATAACTTTTCAAAGGCAGTTTAAAAGGTGAAAATGACTCTGCACACTTTGATGTTGACAGCCCCACAGTTGCAATTCCTACTGATCAACTTTTAACAAGCCAGGCCTACTCCAATATGCTGTTTTACCCGGCAAAATCGCTACTGTAGTTTTGACATCACTTTGTCCCATACTCACTTACTAATGTTTCTAGAGCAGAAAACATTCTTTAAATGTAAGTAGTTTTTTAAAAGGTTGATTTCTAAAGAAGAAAACCAATTAGTCAATTGTTTTTAAGTGAAATCTGTTTTTTTTTCTCCTCGATATTCATAATTCTTCTCGAACCATGCAAAATGTATCATTTTTTTCAGTAGTATTTTATCCAAATATATGAATTATTCTATATCCTTTTCAGTATGATATCCGCACACCAAAATGTTCAAGAGCTGCAGACAGCAGCCCGAGCTGTGGGCTTGAATCTTTGTTCTGGCCTTCCTGTGTGGAGTGATTGAGTTCTCTCCCCATCCCATGCTTATGTGGGTTTGCGCCAGCTTTCTCCCACATTTCAAAAACATGCATGTTCATTTTAACTTGAAGCCTTGTCACACGTTAGTGTGAATGGTTGTCTGTCATATTGCTCTGCAATTGGCTGGCTCCCGCTCCGCTTAGTCAGCTGGGATGGGCTCCAGCTCAATGAGGAAAATGGATGAATGAAATATCACCACTCAACATTCCAGATCGGTTGGCAACATACAACAAAGTTGCCAACCTATTTGTGCAGTAGCTGTTCTGCACAAAAATCCACTTCAGGTAACACAAAGCTACATGTTTTACCATGGGGAGTCACAAGACCTGATTGACTTTAATGCTTTTTCCTTGTAGCAATGTTGTTTTCTAACCTCTATAGTATGCAACTGACTATATAGTAGGAATAGTTAATGTATAGTATGTATGACAAGGACAGAAAGGTAAGCAGAGTTTCTTGATGACATGCACTGGTGTGTGTGTTTGGCACACTGTATTGATTTTGCAGCTAAAGCCATCCATCCATGTACGGAAGCGTGTCTAAATAGATGATTTACTATTCCTGCAAGAAGGAACAACATCCATACAGCGGTAGCAGCATAATGCAGTAGATTGCATACTTCTCTGATCTTCTCTTTTATACATTTGTAAGTCACACCCCATTATCTCCAGTCTCCACTGTGTAGTGTCTGATTACCATTCTCTTCTCCCACGCCCAACAAAATAGTTGGATTTTGTAATTTTACATTTAATCAAACAGGATCCTCTCCCAAATCAAACATAACAAAACAAACATACTTGACAGTCTACCAAGTCATCAGTCAACTTTAAACTAGTCAGCAAGTTCTGTTGACTGTGAGCTGTTAGGGTCATGGGTGGCTGGGCAGGGGCAATGGTACACCCTGCACTGGTCGTCAAACACCTGTACTGGGCAATTACAGACAATCATTCATTCACACCCCAGTTCACATTTCAACGAAGCGAACATACAAGTCTTTAGAATGAGGGAGATACCCCGACCACCCGAAAAAAAGTAAACTGTATCATTCATTCACACCCCAGTTCACATTTAAACAAAGCGAACAAGTCTTTAGAATGTGGGAGATACCCCGACCACCCGAAAAAAAGTAAACTGCGTGAGACCCGAATTTGGATTCAAACCAAAGACTGCAAAACTGCGAAGCAATTGTACTAACCAATCAAGTATCGTGCTGCCAAAATATATCCTTAATTATCGAACTATGTCTCCACCGAAGGCTCTTGGTTACAAATTCACTCCCCGCATCTGCAGTATATTGTCAAATGGGGCTCAATTACATCGTGCAAGTGTTCCTTGTGTCCACAATTAAGTGCTAATGTCATTTTTCACCACTTTTCACCACGAATGCAAAATGCAGACGATCCCTGCTAGGGTGACCGTTGAACTGGAAGTAGACGCTTTTGGTATTAAAATGGGGGCATTTAAAGCCACGGTTTGTCGTGTGTGGGGGGGGGGGGGGCTTTTAGGCACGCGTGTTCGCGGCTGTCACGCGTGACAGCGCTTCACGCGGCCGGTTGACAGCGGAAACAAAACGCCAACCGCGGGTGGACCGAGTGAGCGTTCGCCGCCACCGGGCTGCCGCGAGCCGTCTGTCCGCCACAAAACTCGTCCAAAATCGCACGCAGCCCGCTCTTGACCCACTCCCACGATGGCGTGCGCTAGCTGAAAGACGACAGCGGCAGCGGGAGGCGGTCACGTTTGTTACTATGGCGGCGTCGTTGCTCTCCGAGAGCGACATCAGGCACCGGTCCATGGCAGAGGAGGATCCGAACGGCAACGAGCACGGGGCGGCCGCACGCAGCGCGGCGCCCCGCTGGGGACCGCAGCACGCCGGAGCCCGGCAGCTGGCTCGGCTCTACTCTCCTGGTGAGCACCGACGAGTCGAGTCAATCATCGTTTTTAGCTGTGTGCTTTTGTCATCACTGCTTATATATGAGGGGAGGCCTCACTATTGTGCACCAGCACCGAGCATCATGGTCATAGTCTGCAGAGTCGTTTTGTGCGTTATGCACCATAGTACGAGTATTGTTCTCTTCAATCAAACCATTTAGCGCACTATCAGAACGAATGTGGGTACTGTATGACATGTCTACACACTCGTCGGACAACTTTGGTTGGTAGTAGTACTGGACATGTTACTAATGAGGTGAAACTTTCTGTGTTACTTCTACGAGTGAAGTAGAATTTTCTTTTAATATCAGTTGTAGTGTTTTACTAATACCACACAGTTGTAAACTTGTGCAGTTTTACCCAAACTATTAACATGTAATTGTGCTATAAGTATGCAAAAGTTGTCCCACAAGTGAGAAAATGACATTGTCATACGAGGACCACGAAAACACTTTTTTTGTCCTATTTGTTAAATCTGTGTGTATAATTGCATTACACGAGGATAATGATCGGTAATAAAAAAAAAATCCTTCTTTGACCTTTTGATAAACTACTGCACATGAGTATAAACAACCAACTAGAGGCAAAGGGTATGATGGATGAGGTGTCTATTATTTGCCCTCCCCCACCCCCCATGTATTGAGAATACAATACAATACAATACATCATATCAATTCATTTTTTATAGGGGATGTACATCTGATGTAATTTGGTTTGACGTTCCTGATGATTTGTTGTTAAATTTACTGAACCTGGATCGTTTGGGCTCTGTAGAGCTTTTACATGTTGTTGCACATTGTAACCATGATAAAAGCTACAGCCACACCGTATCAAATCGAATCATAATCCCAGTCAATCAAATCGTTACAGCCTTGAATTGTCTCATACCCTATGTAATAGGAATCCTATCTGTAGGTGCCAATTTAATATTGGTCGATTTTTGTGGCGCGTTCCATATGCCATGTAGTCTTGATACGTTGAATTGGCATATTTCATAACCTTGTTGAAATAATCGTCATTATTATTTTGCGCAAATGTTAGATTCCATTTGTTTAAGATACACTGTAGCATGTTTGAATATTTCTTTGTTGGACTACTTGTTATGACTTCACGTGACTGGCGACAGTGCGGAGAAGAAGGCGTGAGCTGGACATGAGAGACAGGTGAGGTCAGCTCAAGCCGGAAGCGATCTAGTTTTTTTGATCAAACAAACAATAATTTCTTGTTTAATAAATAGAAAAGACAAAGAAGTCCTTGTCCTGTTTGCGTTTAAGACTTGTCGGCGCTTCAGACATCACACTAACGTATTTTATTTAAAAAATGAAATCAAATTCCAGGACCAAGTCCGTATAGCTTTAAAAGGCGGGCAGGCCTTGCCAGCTGAGTGACATGAGCATCAGTGACACACTTGCTGTCTGTGTGTCGAGTTACTCGTGGTGAGTTGTGGCTGTCAGAAGCTTGTGTATAAATGTGTTTGTTTTCTTACCGTTTCGTCAATAAGGCTCCTGGAAATGCACCATTGACTGTGTCTAGCCTTGACCTCTTGCGGGGGGGCATTCCAAATGGTTCGAACGAGCTATGATATATTTGCTAGCTAACATATGTCACTTTCTGTCTTGGTGATTGTAGATGTGTTTTTGTGGGACACATTACACTTTATGTTAATAGGTGTGAAATGATTCGTAAACTTTGGAAATTCTCTCATCTAAACTGCATCATGTTCATATTTGTTTTACCGAATAGCCTGATAAATTAAATGACTGACATCAACTGGCTCCATTAGTTTACACTGGTCCAAATAACATAAGGGGCGCTTGACCACATCATGTTCCGGTCACGTCAATGTACAAAGACCACCAAAGCTTTCCTCCTCCTCTTCCAGCATTTGGCTGGCCCTCACTTGACTCACTGAACTCAAAATGATCATCTGATGTGACAGCTCACTCGTGACCTTTTAAGACTCAATGTCATTGAACATCTGTCGCCGTGACGTCGCTCACCAAAACAAACTCTTAAGCTGCTCATTCCGCTCACCTTCCCCATTAGGAGAATTGGATCATCACTGCCGCTTCCACTGATGACTTCCTGATCTCCTCACAGCACGTGATTACAGTTTATACTGATCATAGCGCGTTAGTGCAGACACCAACTTGACAGATGAGTCAAAAGGAGACCAAACTTTTTGGCAAGTCTATTCTTAAAATCTTTGGCGTGATCAAGAAATGACTCATGAAAATGATTCATCTTGGCGGCAGACAAATGGGCAAACAGCTCTGCCTCGTTGCTCCTCTTGTTAGCGCGATGAATACATGTACAAGTCCACCAACCCCATCATTTCTGTCAGCGGGTGTGACTCATGAGGAAGGTGACCACCTCACACTTGAGGGACTTCACATCACGGAGCGAGCGCTCTCACTTGTGATGACGTGAACGCTGACAATGTCAACTTGATGCACGGTCTATTTATTGATATCGTGCCAAAATATTCACTCACTCTTAGCTTAGATTTTTTGCTAATTTGAATGAATATTTGTAAAATTATGTCGTCTGGGTTTTTTTTTTCCATTTCGATAAAAATAGCAAGAACAACGTCAACCCAAAGTTTCTTGTTTTAATTTTGCTAGCTTTATCGCCCAAGTTGTGATTCATTCTCGTGCAAACTGTTGCACTGTTCAATGTTAATGGTGTTCGAATGGAGCCATCCTAACTTGTCTGTGATTGTCCTAAAAGCAGCACGTTTGCTCTCTCGCTTTAGTGTTTTGATGCTTAAGAGGATCACGCATGCATTTGGGGTCCCGGCAACTTTATCCCGTCTCACTTAGCAGCCGCTTAGTTAGCACACTGAGCCCAAACGTTAAAAATAATCCTGATCAGGCGCACATGTGGATCACTTCCTGACACTACAAATATTCTCCATTAAAAAGAGTGGCTGGTGATTGTCGCCCTATATGATATATAATTGATTGATGGGTTGGTTTTAGCATGATTGATTGATTCGTGGTCCTAGCATCCTTCAGATTGTGATTTTATTTTTCTTGTGTTGCCCTTGGGAAAAAAAATTTTAAATTGCACACCCCATGTAATATTTGGTAATTGTTCTCGGTACTTGAAAAGACGCGACATGTCAAATATTGCATGTTATTATATGAAATGAACAGTGTTTTAAGCTTTAGTCATTGAGTGTGAATGTTCATGTTTGGAGCAGGTTGAGTCAAAAAGACGTATTTGTTTTGGTGCTTGCTGCCAAAGGGCCCAGCAGGCCAAAGGCAGAGGACGCGCTCGTCCACGCTAACAATGCCACCAGGACATTTTAAGGCAAGCTTAAAAGTAAAAATGCTTCCCACATGCTGACAAGTGTCTGTTAAAGACAACTAAACAGGCCCAATTTCAAATGCCAAAGAGTCCATTTAAGGCAGCGCCACACTGTTATACGCTCAGATGTTTGGCTTCTTCTCGGCACTGGCGGGAGGTAAATCTAAATAGCAGTTTGCCTTGTTAGACTTTGGACAAGTTAGATGAGGCGGCCGAGACGCTCCATCGAGCCGAATGTGGCCTCATTACGACACAGCCTGGATGGACAAACAGCTGGAGACGTCTCCGTTTGTCTCTGCCGCTTTGCTATCCTCCGCCGGCTCCTTCCCCTCTTCCCCTCCCCGCCATCCCTCTCCCGCGTCCTCCTGAGGGGCTGAAGAGTCTCGCTGGACCAAGCCCCTCCTCCTCCTCCGGCGTTTCATCGTGCCCTCAAGGCGCACGATAGCCGCGTGTGGTCTTGGACATTTGTAAATCGCATCATGACATCAGTCCATATGGTAAAAAGGCAAGCGTGAAAGGCAACAGGTGGTGCTCGAACCTCCGACATCCGTCGGCCATTTTAGTCCATCAGAAACTTTTGAAAAGTGTGTGTGCGGGCGTGCGTGTGCGTGTGTGTGTGTGTGTGTGTGTGTGTGTGTTGACTGTAGGTAGTTAAATTATCCTGACCATCTCACAGGAAACCCCTCAAAAAGCATCACTGGCATTAACTAGCACAGTTATTGTATTATACACCTTTTGTAATTCCCCGGGCAGGAAGTTGGAAACAATTACTGTTTTTATTTTGGAAGTAAAAGTGGGTTTCAATGAGTCCAACATTTGGTAGGAATGCAAATGATGCTTTTGAGAGACAGCTTTTCTCAGAATCAGACACAACAGTGTGAAATATACAATACCACACACGTTGGCTTCAGGCGAGCCTTGGAGCTACCATTCTGCTGTTGACCTTGACCGTGTGTGTATGCAATTAGTATGATGAGGGCCACAGATGAATATGGTGGAAGTTGAAAGCCCCGGGGATGACAGGATGCTGTCCAACAAACACAACGCACACACACACACACACACACACACACACACACACACACACACACACGATTGGATCCGACCATCTTTTATTTTGTGTGTGTGTCTCAACGGGGGAGAGAGGCTGGAGCAGGGCCGACTTAACACTCACTCTCATGTGGCTTAAAATGTGTGTGTGTGTGTGTGTGTGTGTGTGTGTGTGTGTGTGTGTGTGTGTGTGTGTGTGTGTGTGTGTGTGTGTGAGAGAGAGAGAGAGAGAATCTCATTTGCCACATTCTTTGTTGCTGTTGAATCTATAGGGTAATAGATTTATTAAGTTTGTCTGGCACAAACGTGTGTGTGTGTGTGTGTGTGTGTGTGTGTGTGTGTGTGGGTGTGTGTGT